GCAGATTTTCACATCGATGTTAGCAGGTCGTGACGTCATCATTGATTCGATCGATTCGGGAAGTCGATTGTGTTTTGCTACATATAGTTACTTCGATATTATGTAAGTCTATCGGTATTTGGCCATTCTATCAACGGGTATATAAAGTTTAGGATTTACTTTTCATACCTTCAATATTATTCACATAGTTTTTTAAAGAAAGAGAGAATAATAAAAATGAAATAGTTTACTGCTTTTAAGTAGCCAACAACAACAACCAGCAAACATATTTTCTTACATTAAATGACCAAATAATGATAGCTTAAAGTTTGTACCGTAGTCAGAGTTATAGCTGAAGGAGAGATATTATGGGACAAGATTTAACCTTAAAACCTAAAACTAATTCTGTGACCTTTGGGAATTCCAAGTAGGCTGAATTTGGAAATGGATATTATAGAATCAAATAGCTCTAAGCGATCAATGTTAATTGATTTGGAATCTTAGTTTTGGGTTTTAGAAGTCTTCTTTATCACATTAAGCCCTTAAGGGTATAGGCCAGGCCTATTTAAGCTGTGTAAATTAGTAGAGGTTGGGGCCCTCCATATCAATTTTGATGATGGCATGTGTTTACAAAGGTTGGCATGTAACATGTTTTGGAGTTTGGAGATATCCAAACTTTATTCTGAAGACTATGACTATACCTCGCGACGCTCTCCAGTCTTCTGCTACGTAATGGGCCAAGGCACATTCCACTGGCGAGGTGTAAAGGTCATCTGACAGCTTCTTCTTGTCCCCTTCGTCGTTAATGGTAGTCACACGATGAACCGATTTACTATGTTCTTCATTGCGTGCACAATGATTTTTTTCTTTTTTTGTTTTAAGAGACTGGCTGCCTCTTTTAACCTTGCATTTGCCCGTTCACATAGACTACTGATCTGTGCATGGAACGTATCCAGCAAAGCAAGGGGTGAGCCGGTACAGTACAAAGGTGAACTGTACTCTGATTAAATGTTTGCGGCAGTGACCCTCGACATCGCTGCCTTGGGCCCTAAGTCCTATCCGCTACCAACTGAGCCACCGACTTGCCAACTGCTGTCTCCACATTGTCTTCTGGAGAGTGCATCCGCCTTCTTTTGGCTCGATGGCACGATGATTTGACTCTTAGTCATACTCCTGCTTCGTTGCTGGAGAGATTGAATGACGTTTACTCCGGGGACGCCCCATTTCTCCACAGTTCCAACAGCGTATCTGCCGCCGACGCATCTTGAGTGCCTCCAGAACTCTCTTTACCAACTCCTCCCTGCAAGATAGCAAAGCTAAAAATAATTTTAAATATGGAATATGTAATATATTTTAAGTTACATATGTGTAAATAACACAGCTGTTATTATTTATTATTGCTAATGTTTATGTTTTTCTGTGTAGTTTTTGTGTTGTTGTTACATTTTAATTTTGAAACAAAATTGTGTACTTTGTGCTAGAATGAGCTGTCAGAGGATTTAATTAAGGCCCCTGCACCGAAAAAAACATTAAGGCAACAAAAATCTGAAGCGTTAGTGTCATATCCTTTAGTATATCTTGACTTCATATGATTTAGTTAATAATTCAAATAAGGTCAAGACAGATGATAATTGTTTTTCAATGTTTACATTTTACTTTATTATAGTTAATCATAACAATTTTCAATAAAAGAGTTTCTTCAAATGTGTGCTTATTATGAACTCTAATTCAAAGTCACAACAATTATTTGGCGACGAAGGAAAAACAGAATTATTACATGTAAGATTACTAAATTTTTCAGAATTTGTGTTCAAATTATTTTGTATTCAAAATGAATGCAGATCAGTTCAATCAATTCCTTACTATCTTTCAAGAACAACAAAGACAACAGCAAGAAAACCAGAACAAGTTTATTAAAGAAGTATTAGAAACTGTCTTAAAACAGAATGATCAACAGACTGAGATACCTCGGGTCAACTACTCAAATGTGGCTCCTTTTGAAAACTATGATCCAAAGAAAGAAAACTTTACATGTTACCTAGAACGTTTTGAAAACTATTACACCATGAAAGGCCTAACAGACTCAACTAAGATTGGACAGCTACTGTGCATCTCTATCGGCAGTGATCATTATAACAATCTTAATTCTTTTCTAGGCCCCGAGAAACAATTGAAAAGTCTCAACTATGATGAGCTTATCACAGCATTCAAGCAGTTATTGATTCCTAAGAAGAACGTTGTAGTATCTCAACACTATTTTCTAAATGTATTTCAAAAAGAACACCAATCAATAACAGAATTCGTGGCTTCCCTACAACGTGATATTGCTGAGTGTGAATTTTCTGTCAAGTGTTCATGTGACCAGACAGTTTCAATCGCCGAAGTTTTCCTGAGAGCCCAGTTTATTCGAGGTTTGCGAGATGACTGGCTACGAGAACAAATTCTACAGTCAACTGAAACTACTTTTGAAGGAATCCTTACCAGAGCAATCGCCCTCGAAGCATCAAAAATTGAATCCAGGGAACTGTCTAAACGTTCACATTCAAGTAATGCAAATTTCAATATATGTGACGATGTGAATAAAGTTTCACATAAAGCAAGGAAATCTCAATTCCAAACCGGTAATCGACCTTCCAGACAGCAACAGGGTCACTCCTCACGCTCTCGAAAACGTCCAGATCTGAAATCTCTTGGAATTGGTAATCTTTGCTTCAGGTGTGGAAAAGACAATCACCAAGCATCCGAGTGCCGCACCGACAAATCTAAGCTCAAGTGCAACAAATGTAACAAGCAAGGACACATATCTAAAGTGTGCATTTCGACCCTTATCGCAGAACAGAAGAAAATCAATTCTCCCAGTGCAGCCAACTACATCCAGTGCTGTTCTCCTACAGAGTCTACATCGAAATTTTCTGATTACGGTCTAAATAAAGTAACTAATGTCAATTCAAGCCCAAAGTTCCTAGATCTGTTTGAAGTAAATAACGATTCAGACAAATACATGATCACAGTTAATCTCAATGGTAAACCACAACAATTCGAAGTAGACACAGGAGCAAAATTCTCACTTCTAGCTAAAAATGATTTCGACAAACTCAAATTGGACATTCCATTGGAAACAACTAACATTGCTTTCAGAACTTACTCAGGTAATATTATCAAACCTGAAGGGAAAGTGAAAATAAATGTTACTTACTGTGGACGTTGCGTCAAAGAGGAACTCCACATTCTTCCAACAGGACACGAAGCACTCTTGGGACGTCAATGGATAAGAGCCCTAGGAATCGAACTGAACAAATTGAATGAAGACACAAATCAAAGCACTCAAATTTCCCAAATCAAAAGAATCCAGTCTCCTGAAGAAATCTTTCAGCCTTTTTTACAACATTTTTGAAGAGAAAATTGGATGCGTTCCAGACTTCAAAGTGTCATTACAGCTTCGAAATGGTGCAAAACCTATTTTTGTTAAGGAACGAAAAAATGTCCCACATGCTTTAACCGACCGAGTGAACAAGGAATTGGACACACTGGAAAATGAAGGGATCATTTCACCCGTGGAGGCCAGCGATTGGGGATCGCCACTGGTTGTCATTCCTAAACCAGACGGTGGTGTCCGCCTCTGCGTCGATTACAAATGCGGTGTCAACGAGCGTCTAATTCAAGCAAATCATCCTATAAGGCGTATTGATGATGTTATTGACAGTTTGCGCAATTCAAAATACTTTTGCAAACTTGACCTCTACAAAGCCTATTTACATCTCCAGGTGGATGAAAAATCTAGCATGATACAGACAATGACGACTCACAGAGGTACTTATAGAGTACATAGACTCAGTTTTGGCGTCAAAACTGCACCATCAGAATTCAACCGCATACTCTCTCAGATCTTAAAGGGGTTACGTAAGACAGAAGCATATTTTGATGACATTATTGTGCATGGTTCGACCATTGAAGAATGCAGTAAAAATTTACAAGCCTGTCTACAGAGACTCTCTGATTACAATTTACATGTCAACAGAAACAAATGCTCATTTTTTCAAGAAAAAATTGAGTATTTAGGACGAGTCGTAGAGTTCAACAAAATTAGTAAATCTCCAACGAAAATTCAAGCAGTCCAACAGATGCCTCGCCCGTCCAATACTGAAGAGGTCAAACGTCTACTCGGACTTGTGTCGTACTACTCACGTTTCATCCCTGATGCTTCAACTATCACATATCCTCTGCGACGTCTGTTACAGAAAAATATGAAATGGGAATGGAATTCATCCTGTGAAGCAGCATTTTTACAAATCAAATCAGAGCTCTGCAGTGATCGAGTTCTCGTACCTTTCGATCCGGCTCTCCCTCTAGTACTAACTACAGACGCCAGCCCTACAGGACTTGCAGCCGTGCTTAGTCATGTCACAGAAGGAGAAGAAAAGCCCATTGCATATGCTTCTCGTTCTCTTACAGTTTCTGAAAGAAATTACAGTCAATTAGACCATGAAAGCCTCGCTATTATTTTTGGTGTGTCACATTTCTACTATTACCTTTTTGGGACTCACTTCACACTAGTAACTGACAATGCACCCATTTCACGGATTTTCCAGCACAACAAAGCACTCCCTCAAATGACATCAGGACGTTTACTCCGATATGCATCTTACTTATCCGGGTTCAACTACACATTAAAATTCAAACCTGGCAAGGAAAATGAAAATGTTGACTGCCTCTCAAGAGCTCCACTTCAGCAAGTAAATTCGACTGGTGATGAAATCATTGCCAATGAAGTCAACCAAGTATACGAACAAATGATTTTCGAGATGTCAGATGAACACATAACCGCTTCAACAATAAGGAGTGAAACAGAAAAGGATCCAGACTTATCAAGAATTGTAAAAGATCTAAAAAACAAGTCTGATGAAACAGAATATACATTGGTTGACGGGATTTTATTTCGCCAAGATCGTGTAATTATTCCAAGAAGCTTATGACCATCAATCTTAAATGAAGTTCATTATACCCACCTAGGTATAACAAAAATGAAACAGCTGGCCCGCCGCTACGTCTACTGGCCCAGCATCGACAAAGAAATAGAACGTATTGTCAAAGGATGTGAAAAATGTGCTCTCACACGTCACAGCCCTCCCAAAGTTCCAGTACATCCCTGGGATACACCACAAGAGAATTGGGAAAGGGTTCATATCGACTATGCAGGACCGCTTGATAATACATATTTTCTCATGTGTGTTGATGCAAAATCTAAATGGGCGGAGGTGAAAATCATCAAAGACTCACCTACTAGTGCAAACACAATTAATCTTTTAGAAGGAATTTTCTCATGTCATGGATATCCTCAAGTACTCGTTTCAGATAATGCTACCATTTTCAAAAGTGATATTTTTCAAAATTACTGCAAAACAAACGGTATTTTCCAGAAATTCATCGCTCCAGGGCATCCGGCAACAAACGGTTTAGCCGAGAGATCAATCCAAACACTAAAGAATCGCCTGAAAGTAGTCTCAACTGACCAAACTCCAATCCAAACCAAAATTCAAAATATTTTACAAAGGTACAGAGCAACACCGCTAGCTTGTGGTCAGTCCCCGGCGGAACTCTACCTGCACAGAAAAATAAGGATAAGACTAAATGCCATTTTCCCGTACAAACCTCAACCTTCAACTACACAGTCTTCACCTGCACGTTCACTATATGTGGGGGAGAGGGTACAGGTCAAACTTTTCATCAATAATAAAAACATATGGCAGTTTGGTCAAGTAAAGAAGAGGCTTGGGAAAAGACACTATCTCGTAGTTCTCGACTCATCTGAAGATTGAATCTCATCTGAGTTCTTCTGATTGAATCCTGAAGAGGCACATCAATCAACTACGCCCAACGCTGGTACAGAGTCCAAAAACGAAAAATGTTACATTCGGACCAACGCAGTTGTTTGATGTTCCCAGAATTCCAAGACGACCAGAAATACATAGGAATCCAGATCCAGTTGCAGCTCCAGAACCAAGGCAACCAGAAGAACAATCTCCAGCAGAAAGAGCTCAAGCTGAGAATGTCATACCACATCGTGAGCAAGCTGATAATACCAACGCCAGACCACAGCGTAAGCGTCACATGCCCTCAAGATTTAGAGACTACCAGATTTGATTGAAAAAGATTGTTCTTAATTAGTGGGGAAGACTGTCATATCCTTTAGTCTATCTTGACTTCATATGATTTAGTTAATAATTCAAATAAGGTCAAGACAGATGATAATTGTTTTTCAATGTTTACATTTTACTTTATTATAGTTAATCATAACAATTTTCAATAAAAGAGTTTCTTCAAATGTGTGCTTATTATGAACTTTAATTCAAAGTCACAACAGTTAGTTAAAAGTTTAAGTGCATAACAAAACTCGTTGGCATGGCGTCTTGCCCGATGTTTTGTCGGTACGAACTAATGGGCGATAGCATGTTTTTAAGATTCGCTAAGAAGTATTCTGAACAAACTACCGGTGAGTATAACAATGTAATGTAATTTTTGCCTATATAAGTAATTTTTACCTTTTATTCATCCTTTAGTCAAGGTTAAGGGATACGTTTATCCGTGTAAAGGATATGACAAGTTTGTCGTAAGCTTATATGCTATCTAGGATGGGTATTACATTTTGCTACCATTTTTTTTTATCTGCCAGTCTTAAATTGTCTACCTAACCAGCCCAGATACCTTAAGGATTAAATTAAAAAAGCTTTTGGTAACTTCAAATACAACGAAACACCTTGCGGATTTAATTTGTTTTAACTCACTGTTTACACGAAAACTTTTTACAGTATCCACAAGTCGACAATGGGGGCTTTGCGTGAGCGGGCAGACTGTACACCAACTCAAACAGAGACTCCGCGGATATACGCCCAGGAGAAAAGTCTGCCTGCTCATTGGTACAAACGACCTATTACATCTCTCCAAGGCGACAGTGCCATTGGTAAATAAAGATTTGAATTAATTGTTATGTAAACAGGTTAACGTATAAGTTACGTAGGCCATGTTGACAAATAGTCATACACTTCTTTATTTTCTTTTATAAATGAAATTGATTATTGATAGGTAATTGGTATTTTGGCCAGAATTTACCAACAATTTCACAATCCATATTATGAAAGTATATAACTGCTTGCTTTTGCGTATTCTGAGCCGAAATTGTTTCTCTAGTTTTACAATACACATAGTTGTCTAATAGTCTACCGTAAAATTAATGATCATGAGTTATGAATGTACTTCTTGCATGTGCGAATTGTATATTTTGTCGTTCGTCGTGATGAGGAAAGCGGCGGAGCGACTTGTGGTAACCCACAATAGTACACAATAGTAGTGGTGTGGGCACCACAGTAGTGCAGTAGCTGTGTGACTTGTGACACGTGGTGCCCAGAGCCACACCACAGCCATCTATCACAGTCGTCGTGATGTGTGCAGTAGCTGTGTGACTAGTGACACGTGGTGCCCAGAGCCACACCACAGCCATCTCTCACAGTCGTGATGTGTGAAGTAGCTGTGTGACTAGTGACACCTGGTGCCCAGAGCCACACCACAGCCACCTCTCACAGTCGTCGTGATGTGTGAAATAGCTGTGTGACTTGTGACACGTGGTGCCCAGAGCCACACCACAGCCATCTCTCACAGTCGTCGTGATGTGTGAAATAGCTGTGTGACTTGTGACACGTGGTGCCCAGAGCCACACCACAGCCATCTATCACAGTCGTCATAATGTGTGCAGTAGCTGTGTGACTTGTGACACGTGGTGCCCAGAGCCACACCACAGCCATCTCTCTCAGTCGTGATGTGTGAAGTAGCTGTGTGACTAGTGACACGTGGTGCCCAGAGCCACACCACAGCCATCTCTCACAGTCGTGATGTGTGAAGTAGCTGTGTGACTAGTCACACGTGGTGCCCAGAGCCACACCACAGCCATCTCTCACAGTCGTCGTGATGTGTGAAATAGCTGTGTGACTTGTGACACGTGGTGCCCAGAGCCACACCACAGCCATCTCTCACAGTCGTCGTGATGTGTGAAATAGCTGTGTGACTTGTGACACGTGGTGCCCAGAGCCACACCACAGCCATCTATCACAGTCGTCATAATGTGTGCAGTAGCTGTGTGACTTGTGACACGTGGTGCCCAGAGCCACACCACAGCCATCTATCACAGTCGTCATAATGTGTGCAGTAGCTGTGTGACTTGTGACACGTGGTGCCCAGAGCCACACCACAGCCATCTATCACAGTCGTCGTGATGTGTGCAGTAGCTGTGTGACTAGTGACACGTGGTGCCCAGAGCCACACCACAGCCATCTCTCACAGTCGTGATGTGTGAAGTAGCTGTGTGACTAGTGACACCTGGTGCCCAGAGCCACACCACAGCCATCTCTCACAGTCGTCGTGATGTGTGCAGTAGCTGTGTGACTAGTGACACCTGGTGCCCAGAGCCACACCACAGCCATCTATCACAGTCGTCATAATGTGTGCAGTAGCTGTGTGACTTGTGACACGTGGTGCCCAGAGCCACACCACAGCCATCTATCACAGTCGTCATAATGTGTGCAGTAGCTGTGTGACTTGTGACACGTGGTGCCCAGAGCCACACCACAGCCATCTATCACAGTCGTCGTGATGTGTGCAGTAGCTGTGTGACTAGTGACACGTGGTGCCCAGAGCCACACCACAGCCATCTCTCACAGTCGTGATGTGTGAAGTAGCTGTGTGACTAGTGACACGTGGTGCCCACAGCCACACCACAGCCATCTCTCACAGTCGTCGTGATGTGTGCAGTAGCTGTGTGACTAGTGACACCTGGTGCCCAGAGCCACACCACAGCCATCTCTAACACTCGTGATGTGTGAAGTAGCTGTGTGACTTGTGACACGTCGTGCCCAGAGCCACACCACAGCCATCTCTCACAGTCGTGATGTGTGATGTAGCTGTGTGACTAGTGACACGTGGTGCCCAGAGCCACACCACAGCCATCTCTCACAGTCGTGATGTGTGAAGTAGCTGTGTGACTAGTGACACGTGGTGCCCAGAGCCACACCACAGCCATCTCTCACAGTCGTCGTAATGTGTGCAGTAGCTGTGTGACTTGTGACACGTGGTGCCCAGAGCCACACCACAGCCATCTCTCACAGTCGTGATGTGTGATGTAGCTGTGTGACTAGTGACACGTGGTGCCCAGAGCCACACCACAGCCATCTCTCACAGTCGTCGTAATGTGTGCAGTAGCTGTGTGACTTGTGACACGTGGTGCCCAGAGCCACACCACAGCCATCTCTCACAGTCGTGATGTGTGAAGTAGCTGTGTGACTAGTGACACCTGGTGCCCAGAGCCACACCACAGCCATCTCTCACAGTCGTCGTGATGTGTGAAGTAGCTGTGTGACTAGTGACACGTGGTGCCCAGAGCCACACCACACACATCTCTCACAGTCGTGATTTGTGAAGTAGCTGTGTGACTAGTGACACGTGGTGCCCAGAGCCATATCTCATTAGTCTCTCTCATGGTTTAATGGACATGATTTTCAAAGAACTGATGTAAACAATATTGTAAATAGAGTATTAACATTATAATAAAACATATGATTCATGTACAAAAGACAGGCAGTACATATAATAGTATACAGAAAACCTCCAACAATGTTCTTCCCTTATCTTCGGGGTGAGGTGATCCAATCCCCAGGTTATGTTATGTAGTGCAATGATTGAGTCGTAGGGTGGCGATTTTGCAGTTTTTATTGAATGAATAACAGTTAATTCTGATGTCTTAATTACAAATGATATTGAATGAAGCCTTTTTAATTGTTTTATAGGTTGTAATAATCATTTTTACTAATGCATACAAACTTAAAAGCTACAAACTTAATTTTTCAGGCAAAGGCGTTAAGAAAACTTTTAAAGAAGTTGAAAATCATCCTAAACTATTTGACCAGGAAGTGTGAACAAGTGGCTTTATGTACAATTCCACCAATTCCCGCTCTGGAGTTTAGTAGTCCGCTTGAGCGGGAGCGCTACCATTACTGCAGGGACTTTTTGAACAACAACATAGTCAGCGAAGCAGGTAAACGTGCAACACTAAAATATTAAATATAATGCGTTACAACGCATTAATTAATAAATTACAACACTTATATATATAAATCCTAAAGTACCCATGAACTTTGAGAAAACCACAAGTCACACCCCCATCACGCCAAGGTTCGTCATGGCGAGAAACCTTGCGCAAAACTATCCATTAGTTTATAAATTGTCCTATGAGGTCCTTTCCAAAGTGAACTTTCCTTATACCTATAAAAATACCTCAGCTGTATTTATTTGTTTGTTATTCGTTCAAAGTATTACCTAACTACACCTTTTCTAATTTTGTTTCAGAAAGTGTTAAGTCTATTTCACAAAAGCATCAATTGTATTTAAGAATTATCATTTTTATTTCAGAAAGTATCATTTGCATTCCAGGCTAGTAACTTTAATTTCAGAAAACATCAATTGAATTTCAGAAGTAGTAATAAATATGTAGTTAAGAAATTGTCCCATATACTTCAGGGTTAGTCAATTGTATTTCAGAAATAATTGATTACATAATTTTGCACAGTCGTAGCGGATCTGATTAAAATTTAATATAAATAGAGCCCAGGGAGGGTTAAGTTTAGGTTATTTAGGTTAGCCTGGAAAATTCTGCCGTTTACCAAGATTTTTTCCTGATTTTACCAGGCCTAATAACGTATTTTTCTCAAGTTGAATCACATCCTATGATACCAAATTTGTACTAACTAAACGTTTTTGTTGCTCATAACGAATT